TCCCCCACTGTGAAATTTACAACCTCTGCTGTGGGTGACCCCCACCTTATATTGTCTTCATATTAAACTGGTAAAATACCATTTGTAATTTGTCTGATATATCTTTTCTGATTTATATACAAGTGGTGACCCCATTTATTTGAATACTGACAGTGGCTAACCCCACTTAATTGTTTAGTGGATAAACCCCACTTTTATGTTATACCTTTATGTTTCTTCCCATGTATTTTTCAGTGAGGGTGAACCCCTGCTGAATCTGGTCGAACCCCGATTATCTGTGCACATACTACTTATTTTCGCTACCCCAAGGGTGCTTTGTTAAAAAAAAACAAAAAGGTTTTTAATATCTGCCATTAAGGGGTCTATCAAACTTAATAACATGTCTGACATTCCAGACACTTTCATATCATCAGAGCTTAAAGACTGGCTTTTCTCTGCTATTGAAGAGTCAGACCCCATGGCCCTAGCTGCCCTAAAGGAGCAACCCAACCTGACCCCCAAGCCCACACAACACCTTTCAGACTCTGATAACTATTGATCCTTCTGATCATGAAGGGGCACCCCGCAAAAGACCCTGGAAGAGTGACAGTGCTTCAGCTGTAAGGGTCGGCTAAAGCCCACAGACTAAGTCTTGCTACCCTTGCAGTCAGTCAAGAATTATACCCTTCAGAGGGATCTACAGGTGGTAGACTAATAGAACGCTGGTTACTCTGGAGAGGACACTCCCTTCAATGAGAGAGTAAATCACCCCCTCACAATAGGTTATTCAAACTATAATTGATTCTAACTCTCAGCACGATCAGTCCTCTGACATCCTGCTAGACTCCCAGGGCCTTTCCTTTTTTGATCTGAGACTGATCAAACACCCTCAATCAGCTGAATGGGCTCCACCTGAGCATATTGCCCAATTTTGCAAGCTATGGCTTCGTAAAGCTCTTGTTAAAGAGGTTAGGAATAAACTCAGGGCTCAATGTCCCCATCCAATCATTCCTGGCAAGGTCGCTCTCACACCAGAGTTTGACTCTATCTTGGTCACATTTCTGACCAGATCTGGTAAAGACCCTGAGGCGAACGGCCTTTTCTTTGGAGACAAATTTATCAGAGATCTAAATAAGCATGTGGCCATTTTTACCTCCCTCACCAAAGTCCAATTATCACTCCGCAGAGTGTTTCATTCCCATCGTTTATAAGGGAGAGCCGGTCGCCCTAGAGGCCGAGCCACTGGCAGACAAACCTTTACTGGCTACAGGCAGAGCCCTGGAATGCAAATCAACACAGACCTTACTACAGGCAGCTGTTCCCTGGAAGAGGTCCCATTAGAGGACGCAAATCCGCTTCCCTACGCGGATGCACTGCTTCAGGTCATTAACTTTCCTTATTTAAATGTTCCTATAGCAGAACGCTTATACCATTTTTTCCTTCAGTGGTCACAACTAACCCAGGATCCTTGAGACAGCTGCAGGTTCTCATAGATTTCATATCCGAACCAGTTCAAGAAAGCCCCCCCCCCATGCCACTGACGATGTCCCAAACAGACAATGAGATTTTGTAGATCGAACTATGCAAACTCCGAGACAAAGGGGCTATCGAGCCTTCGATCACCCATCCCACATTTCAGTCATCAATTTAAAAGCATTAAATCTTTCAATCAATTATTGTCATTTCAAAATGGGGGGGTGGGGGGGAATACATCTGTTACGTGACCTCTGTGGGGGAAGATGGTTGGGGTGCGACTTACACTGATCTCTCCACCGGAGGGCTGACTGGACACCCTCAGAACAGACCTTGCACGTAAACTGCCTCAAATTAATGGTCAGCTCCTTTGCAGTCTGCAGCTTTGCGAAGGATGCATACAATTGTTCTCTGATCCTCAGGATGGACAATATCTCTGCAGTCCGTTACATCAACCGATTGGGAGGTTCCTGTTCCAAACTCCTTTAGGATCTGACAAAGGAACTGTACCAGTTCTGCCTGGCCAGGAACATATCCCTGCAGGTGGAATATCTTCCGGGCCCGGACAACCTATGGGGCAGACTAGTTCTCTCGCCACTTGCAAGACACCAGCGATTAGCGACTGGATCCACGCATATTTCAGCTCCTTCAACAAGCTTGTGGCCCTCTCTGTGTCCTATTTGAATCGACAGACCGAGGCCACCTTCAGTTGGCTTCCAGATCCCTCCTGTCAAGTAGTAGATGCCTTACTTCAACCTTGGCCGAGCCTAGGAGTATATGCTTTCCCTCCATTTTCCATGATTCCTTGAACTCTGCAAAAACTCAAGAGCCCTCGGGGTCACAGTCCTATTAATTACCCTTCTAAGGAGTAAACAGCCTTGGTACCCCAGCCTGCTCGAACAGTCAGTGGACTTTCCCCTTCTCCTCCCTCGGACTTGCGACTTCCAAGATCCCTCAGGAGAGTTCCATCCTCTCATCCTGCAAGGTCACCTTCAATTTGTGGCTTTGACAGTTTCAGGGGATCCTGGGATGTCTCAGGACTTTCAAACACTGCTAGAGGACTTTTATGGGACTCCTAGGCTCCTGGAACATGACATTCCTACCACTCCGCTTGGCAGATCTGGATTAGCTGGTTTGTGGAAGGGGATATTGATCCATTTTCACCCTTTTGTAGTTTACGTAATGAATTTATCCTCACTTTTTGACCAAGGTAAGTCCTATCAAGCTCTTTTGTTCTGCTATTTCCGCAGCTCACATCCTTGTTGGAAATTCCTCCGTGGGATGCCACCCCTCTGTCTGCAGACTTTTGTGTGGTATTCGACTTGCCAGACCTCCTGCACCTTTATACTCCCAGTTTTGGGATATGTCAGTTTTTTTCATTTTTGGAAATGTGGCCTCCTAACTCTGAGCTCACCCTAAGGCAACTCTGCTAAACTTGCCCTTCTCCTCTGTTTGGTTTCCTTCCGGAGAGTGTCGGATGTCAAAGCCTTTGATGTCCATGCTCTCAATTTCACACCCGAGGGTGTTCGCTTCATCATCTCCCGTAGGACTAAGACCCTCTCTTCCTCAATGTTCTACCCATACTTCCCTGATCGACCCTCTCTTTGTGTGGCATGTTTTTTACACCACCATGTAACGCTGACAAACCCACTTCGGCCTCCTCTTGATCTCCTATGTTAGTCCACATAGACCAGTCTCGAGTCCTACTAGTGCTCGTTGGATTAAATGGCTGCTTGGTCTTTCCGGTAGTGACTCTTCCTTTGGTGCACACTCTGTGTGTGGTGCGGTGGCCTCATCTGCACTTCTGGCAGGAAGTGCCCTTTCGGATATTTTGGTCTCTGCAGATTGGTCTAGAGAATCTACCTTCCGTACCTTCTATTTTTATCCTGTTCTCATGCCCTTTTTCCTCTGCTTTCTGGACGTAAAAAGAAGAAAAAAAACGCAAATATGATGCCTCCTGTCTCGCCATAAAATTAGGGACTATTCTAGTTTTTCATTACCGAATAATCTAAGTTTTATTAAAGACAGGAGGCGAATATTTTCCCACCCTTCTTATCCCTCCCTCCTGTCTAGGGTTGACAACTCCGCTTTATCTTGCATTGAACCTTTCTTTATTGACTCACATATTTTATTCTGTTGCTAGATTATCTCCTAGGATTTTGATCTCGCTCTGCAAATTGTGTCTGACATTGATAGTGATTATTATAGCATTTTGCTTGTCCCACGTAATTGCCATGATTATTAGACAACATACTTTCATGATCTTTCTCCTTCATTTCAGTGTAAAGATTCTACATGATCCTTCAGGAGGTCATTTGGCTCCAGGTGAGCTTATTTCCGGGTTTACATGGTTGACGACTCTGTTCACGTTTACAAGGTTGACTTCAGTTGTGCGGCTGCATCATCGAAAGAGGAAGTGGGAGGAGCTTCACCAGTTATTATATGATAGCTACTCTGGATGATTTTACTTTACATTGTTAACCATTTCTTTGTGCTGGGAGGTTTGAGTAAAAAAAAGTAAAGCAAATATTCGACTCCTGTCTTTAATAAAATTTTGATTATTCGGTCATTAAACACTAGAATAATCCCTAGTTGAATATGATAAAAGTCGATAACGCCTAGTGAGAGCCAAATACAGTAAGCAGAACAAGGCATTGCAGTGAATTTGTGTTAGTAGTGAAATTCGCCTACCTGAATTGCTGAACGAACAAACTTACAGTTTTGTTGGGAAAAACAAAACAACAGCGGTGCCCCATGAGCAATGCCCAATAAGGCAGCTATTTACTAGAGCGAGGTAAATAGCCATACCAGCCCAGCAAGGCCAAACCAGATTGTTTGAAGTTTAGGCAGTTTGCGTTGAGGACCTTTGCACCGGAAGTAGACGGTTCTGTGCTGAACCATGACCTGCACTGTAATGTCCCAGGTAAGAGGGAGTGGGGTTTATAAAGGGCCATACTCCTCCCACAAGTCTTTGGCCTTAAATTAAAAAAATAAAAAAAAATAACAATTATATATTTTTATTTGCAGAGAAGGTTGGTGTAAAAGAGGAAATATAGTTGAAGTGAAGTAGAAATTGCAATTAGTTTATTTTACACAAAAATAAAATTAGCACATGATTACCCTTACTTGGCATGGCACTCAAGGCTGCTAGAGCCAAACAGGTATATCTGGCCTATCTGGAGTCCCAGTGGAACTTCAGATACCTGCTAATGTGAAAAAGTGATGAAAGACAATCCTCAATTTATGCATTGCAGCACGTAGAGTAAGTGATCTCTCCAATAACAATCCACAGACGCGCGCAACCCCACGAGCAGTATCACACACACCCCACCTAACACACAATGTGGCATATCCATCAACACACTCAATTCCACAACCAGCCCCCCATACAGAGCCAAAATAGGTATAGTACACAATACCACAAACATAAACACTATAACAGCTCATATATGCACAAATACAACAATACAAAGCAACTACAGTGTAAATAACAAGCAAATCACGGCACACTAAAAAAATAGGACCGGCACACTACAAGATATCACAATCCTATTTTGGCACAGTACCTGGTCTAGAAAGTGGGTGGAATCTTGGTCAGATCTGACCCTCCCATATTTGATATATGCAGGTATGTTTGCAAAATTAATGCATGTAGCATCATAACATTTCTGGAAGCTTCATTAACTAGAGTTTCTAATACCAATACATAAACACATGTCTGCACAAACTGAAGCTTGGCAATAGCATGTGACTAATTTTCCTCTCCCAATTCTTATTCACCCAAGGTTCTAATGTTTAATGGCTGTAACGTGTATAAAACATGTAAGGATAATGTACAGGGTGTGGAGACGAGTCACACTCCCCTCCAACACATTCAATTAACAATGAATACACATTTCTCGCTGCATTTAGTTAAGCACAATGTGATAAACCCAGATAAAGAAAAGGCCACGATGGCCTAAGTATTACACACAAAAAAAAACCCAAACCATATTTTTCATATTAGTTTGTTTATTTTAAACAAATGTAACTCCAAAAATGTAAAAAAAAAAAAAAAAAGTTAAACTCTTATACTACACAGACCACATGAAAAAGTAGAAATAAGACATTCTAACTGACAAGCATTTCCTACAACTAAAAGATCCTGACTTCCCAGAGCTTCTAATAAATTATAAAATACATACATATATTTATATAAAAAGTGTCCAGTATCACATAAAAAAAAATACCAAAAACGTGATGAACTGTGTAAGTGGGAATTATATTCCCATACTGCAAATAATATCTGCTTACACACCTGATATGATGCATAAATCAAAAAATATTCCAACCAGTAGGAAGAGAATTTCTTTTTTACATATGAGAAACTGCTGGAATTGAGGGTGCTACAACTACTGATGGATAAGTGAACCTTCAAGCTTGGTTACAGTATGATTGGGCAAGCCTTCAATTTAGAAACAAGCAATGTACACAGTGCATCTTACCAGCAGAAAACAATAAAAAGGTTTCTAAAGTACAGCACATTTCAATTAGTGAGAAAACTATATGCTTATTTACACAGCATAATTTATCAGAACAGAAATCAAAATGGAAGGTTTGCATTATTGGGCAACAGTGCATTCCCTGCATATCCATCATTTAAATGTTTAGGGAAAATGAACATAAAAGGCACAATTCCTTTAGGCATTCTTATTAAACAAATTATATTCTTTTTCTGGACTTTTTATTTGGGGGGAGGTGAGTGGGGAGAATAGAAAATAAAAATCTAAAAAAAAAAAAAAGTCACAGGTTTTTTATATATACACATACATACACACACACACCCTATTATCCATGTACTTTACATAATACCTTCACAAATTGCATATAGTAAATCTGTGCAAAAGACACTAAGAAATATATGGTTTGACGTTGCTACCGTCTCAAAACAGTATGCGTATTCTAGTGTCATCAAAAATAATATTAAAAGGTAAGTAAGGTAGAAGAAAAAAAATGCTTTATATAGAAATTGTGAATTAAAATTCTTGAAAACTACCCAAGGAACTTTTTTTCATATATATATATATATATATATATATATATATATATATATATATATATATATATATATATATATATATATATATATATATATATATATATATATATATGTAAATTTAAAATGCCAAATGTGTGTCACTGGAATAGATCACTAACCGTAAAAAAGCCATGACAGATTGGAAAAGCAAAAGTAACATTTGAAACACTTTAGCATGTCTTTAAAAAAAAAAAAAAAAAAAACTCATTTATATGTATGCATATAAAATAAAATGATTTAGTAATCATCATTTATGTCCAGATCATGCTTCACTTTTTTAAGTTCAGACATCTGATATCCAAGCAGCACCCTCTGTTTATGGGTTTTCAGGAATTTCATGCACACGTATCGTTTAGTTCCAATAAACGAAGATACTTCACTTTTCCACATGTCTAGCAAACTAGACAGTATGGTTATCTCTTTTTTACTAGGATATGGTCTTTTATGAAAATACTGTAATAAAAATTCCTTTTTATATTCATTGGAAGTTATCTTTCGATCTGGAACCATTGCAAGTAACTCTAGAGATGCATCATCAACATGACCCCCGGCATGGTCTTGGTTAAAGTCCACCTTTCTTCTTTTGTGAGTGGGCAATTCCTTATCAGTTGTGACACGATCCTGCTGGTTGGTCTCATTCCCACTATGCTGAGTGTCTGAAGTCAAACTTTGTGGCTTTGCATAATCATGCATTCCCCCTCTTAAAGATTGTGTTTTACCTGCATTATTTTCTGGAGTAACCTCAGCTCCAGGGCTGATATCTTTGGGTGCATTCCGACAACGGAGCAGATGCACAGAAATGGCAGACAATGTCATACTACCTGTGTAGACACCACAACAATGAATGCATTTGAAAGCAGGTGTCTTTAAGATAGTATGCACTGTAGGCATAATGTGGTGTCTATCTTTCAAATGTGTCTCATACGCCTCTGTTTTGGAAAGAACATAATTGCAGAAGGGACATTTTGAGACTTGCTCATCAGTTGCAGCAGTTGTATCTGTAGATTTGTGCTGTAACTTAAGGTATAATGTAGCAGCCTGAGCATTGCTTCCTATGACTACAGCAAGGTTTATTTCTTTGTCTCCCAGTACATCTCTTGAAAGCTTTAAGGTGAAATCAAAATGAGGGAAAAGTACAGTACCATCAGCATCAGTTGGGATCTGCAGGCCTTTTTTGGAAAAGTCTACGTGGATAGTCTTTTTGTCTTGATGCAGTATTTTCATATGGTAAACAAAATTTCTTGTTTCATGGAAAACAGCTTTGCAATACAGACAAATCATTCCATGCATGAGCAGATGCTTTAAAAGTTCCTCCTCTTGGGCCACAGTCCGACAAGAAGCACATTTGATAGATTTGTCTTTCAATAATTTTAGAAAAGATGCTTGAGCTGCAATAACAACCGGTTGTTTTGTTTCAATGGAGGTAGTTGTATCTGTGGGTCTGAGCTTTGTATCAGGTGTAACATGAGCAACCTCCATGTGTACTTGATAGACATTTGAAGGGAACAATTCATTGCACACAGGACATGTCTTCCATTGCTTGGCTTCTTTACCCAACGGGACTGGAGTTGCAGTTGCAACCTTTTGCAAAGAGGTGGTATTAAGTTGCAGGACAGGTGGAATTGCTGTTGCACCAACTGGAGAACGTGAAATCTGAATTACTTGTTCAGGCAATTTCACCTTCACTGGCACTTTTGGTGGGTTAACAGTAGGAAGAGCAGAAGGAGCAACAGGCAGCACAGATATCGGAGCAAGGGTATATGTGGGCATACCATTTACTTGCTTCCCTGTTGGAATAAGTTGTCTAAATATGGGAGCAGTGAGGAAGGTGTTTTGGGGAACACCAGTTTGATTTGTGGTTATATTTCCAGGTCTCACAGACTGGTTCACATTGATGATACCAGGCTGTGAACATGTAAGCACTGTGGACTGATTCACATGTAGCAGACCACTAGGCAATGGCTGATTAAGAGGAAGAACAGCAGGTCTAACAGCATTCTGAGCAGTAGGTATAATTTGTCCAGTAGAGGGAAGGACAGTTGCAGTCACAGGCTGGTTCAGAGGAAATCTTGAAGAGAGAAAAACAGACTGAGGAAGGGCTGTTTGAAGAGTAATGTTTGGGTTTTGTGACAGTGTATGTGTATTGTATGTGGTCTGTGTGTTATTAACAAATCCAACTTGCACTGTGGGAGCAACAGATGTAGGAGGTTTTGGTACCAAACTCCCAGAAGAATCTGTGACATTAGTTATGTTTGGCACACCATTCTTTTTAACAGCCGGTGCAATTTCTAAAAGTTTCTTAGGTCTTTGAGGAACGGACACCGGAACTGAAGCAGAGGAATTTGAAGTAATTTCTGTTTGTTTAGGTGTAGAAGCATCAGACACATCAGACACCACGGGCAATCTTGACTTGGTTTGGCCTTTCTTCCGATATGCTCGGCTCATTTCAGAAATATCGGTTCTTAGTTTCAGCTCCAGGTCCCTGTGTTTTTCAGATGTTAAAACGTGGTACATCAAGGCATCATGGGATGAAACTGAATAATGACATTTCCTGCAGAAAAACCTATTCACTGGTTGAATCTTAATGCCAGGGATACTGTAGACTTCCTCTTCAGATTTTTCACCAAAGTAAGAGTCAGCTACAGTCTTATAATGCGTTATAAGCACATGCTTCTTCATGCTGTAGTAAAGAGTTTCAGTGAAAGAACATTTTGAGCAGGAGAAATTGAGATTGTTCTTTTGCACATTTGGAATCTCTTTTAAAGTTGGAATAGGGACTTTGCGAGTGTTCATGTGAAACATCCGTATGTGTTTTGCAACAGTTTTTGACCGAGAAGTAAATGGACAATTAGGACAAGCAGACATAAGCTCTTGGTCCCTTTCATCTTCATGATACCGTTTGAGATGACTTTTAAACGAAGACAGCAACTTAGTTGAAAATTTGCATAAACTGCAGCAAAATGGTTTTGATCGGTAATCCTAGGGAATAAAGAAAAACACAAAAAAAAATTAGACAAAATACTAATAAAAACAAATTAATCATCTGAAAGACAATACGACATAACACTGATGAAATGTATATTATTGGGTATAGTAGTCATACATCAATAAAAAATCCAAATATAAAAAGGAGATCTTATTACTATGAGCATTAAATATTTGGCAGTATTCTGGGATTATTTCAAACTTGAATATTTTATTAAACCAGTCACACAATTCTAATACAAAAATCTATGGATTCAATGGTTTTTGCATGGATTTTAATGTTTTTTTCACTTTACTCCTGTAATCTAATTATACATCACAATAATAAGGGTGTTTAATAGCTTATTTTCTAAGTGTAAGGTATAGTTTATTTCCCATTGTACACCGGATGCCAGTAATATGTACTAAAATTAAAATAATTTTTTTTAAATATATATATTTTTTTCCATTGGCCGGACAGAACCATAAGCTTAATCATTTCTGAAAATCTTGACACAAAGCCCTTAAAATTGAGATACGGTGGTTATAAAGTCGACACTAGGGATCGACCAATATTGATTTTTTTGGATTTTTTTTATAGAGCAGATACTGATAATCTGTGAACTTTCAGGCATATAGTTTACCGATATTCTGTACATTTACCGTATTTATTTATTTTGGAAAAAAATTATTACGCTGTAAATGCACAAAATATACATGACACATTTTTTTTTACGATTATATATATATATATATGTGTGTGTGTGTGTGTGTTGCAGTAGTGGATTCAAGTGTGTGTGTGTTTGTGTGTAAATATGTGCGGTAGAAACTCCCCTGCTCCCCACCCCTTACCTGTCTTCGTGTCCCTCCCCTTTCCCCTGTTCCTCTCCCTTCTCTTTTTAGTGCACCCCCCCGTCCCACAGTGTTCCTCACCCCCCCGTCCCATAGTGTTCTTCACACCCCCCCTGTCCCATAACGTTCTTCACTCCCTGTCCCATAACGCTCTTCACCCCCCTTTCCCTGTCCCATAGTGTTCTTCACCCCCCCCTCCCTGTCCCATAGTGTTCTTCACCCCCTCCTGTCCCATAGCTCCCCTGTCCATATCAGTCACGTTCTTCACCCCTCCCTCCTGTCCCATAACGCTCTTCACCTTTTCCTCCTGTCCCATAACGCTTCTTCACCCCTCCCTCCTGTCCCATAACGCTCTTTCACCCCCTCCTGTCCCATACACGTTCTTCACCCCCTTCCTGTCCCATAACGCTCTTCCCCCCTTCCCTGTCCCATAACGTTTTTCACCCCCTTTCCTGTCCCATAACGTTTCTTCACCCCTTTCCTGTCCCATAGTGTTCTTCACCCCCTCCTGTCCCATAACGCTTCTTCACCCCCTTCCCCTGTCCCATAACGTTCTTCACCCCCCTTCCCTGTCCCATAATGTTTCTTCACCCCCCTTCCTGTCCATAATGTTCTTCACCCCTTCCCTGTCCCATAATGTTCTTCCCTGTCCCATAATGTTCTTCACCCCCACTTCCCTGTCCCATAGTGTTCTTCACGACCCCACTTCCCTGTCCCATAGTGTTCTTCACGACCACACTTCCCTGTCCCATAGTGTTCTTCACGACCACACTTCCCTGTCCCATAGTGTTCTTCACGACCACACTTCCCTGTCCCATAGCTACACAGAGTGCCATACCCCAGATAAGTAAAAATTGTTGGAAACTAGCAGACATTATCTCTCCAGCCAACATATGATACATACCCCAAACTCTCAGCCTATGAATGGCGATTGTTTATTTAGACCTGGCAACTGTGCCTTTGCCAACAAACATACTCTATACCTTCTTTAGACAAAATGACACAGAGGAGCTGGCGTTCCGATGTACAACTAACTCTTGCACAAACTAATCTCAGACTTAACTATTCCTATAACACCTTAACTGATATGCCCTACCTTTTTCCAATGATGATACCACCTGGGGGGGGGGGAGCACTACAGGGAGCTGTAGTGCCAGGTAAACAACTGGTTTTCCTGGCACTATAGTGCTCCTTTAACTACCCATAATTAATTTAGATCCTAGACAGGAGGCATTTAATAATCAGGATAGATGCGTGAATCTAATTTTAGTTATTTTTCTTTTGTTTATATTTTTATACATCAAGTGCAACTAAAAGGCAAAAATGTTTGACACCTATGTTAACATTTTATTCATACCTAATGTTGTGTTGCATATACATGAAGGATATTAAAAGAAATCCATTTATGTCCTTTAAAGAAAATGTATAGAGTGTTTGTGTGTGCGTGTATGTATGTATGTTTGGATGCACTTAAAGAGATAACCAAACATTCTAGGTTTTGTTTTTGACCAGAAATTAGACAATTGCCTCCGTACTTACAGTGTTAAATATCACGACAAATAACCAAATAAAATATTTCTGAATTGTCAGGAATTCACTAAGGAATGTCCAGCTCAGTTATTCTGGCATTCAATTTGCCATTCCCTAGTGAACAAAGTTACAACACAAATCAGGGAATTCAAAGTGATTTTAAAAATTTATGCCAAAAGAGGCAAATTATAAAAATCCTCAAAGTCAATTCAGTTTGGGTATTTTGTCCTATAATTTGTAATTCAATTAGAATTTCTGCAAATTCTCACTTTATCTGAAATGTCAATCTCAATACTAAAATAGACCCTTATATCATCAGTAAAAACACACAAGAGTTTTTGTTTACGATACAGTAATATATCCAACATGAGCATCAGGGTAACCTTTGTTATGTGCTGTCCCTTATTTAAAGGAAAGTCACATGACACTCAAAAACCATTATTATTCAGGGTTTCATAGTGGCATCTTATGCTTCACTAAATTGATGTTAAAGGGACACTATAGGCTCTCAGAACACTTCAGCTCATTGAAGTGGTCTGGGTGTAATTTTTTTTTGTTAAACATTGCAGTACCAGAGCTGTAAGTCTGCTCACAGACAACCACTACAGGGCTTCCTGGATCGAAACGAACCTTTGCTCAATTATCTGACGCTGGACGTCCTCACACTCTGCATGAGGACAACCAGCGTCAGATTGTTCCCCATATGATGCATTGATTCAATGCTTTCCTATGGGGAGGCCTAATGTGCGCAGCATTTGCAGCGAAGCACATCAGCGCCAGTTTGTCGGGGATGACGGAGTGGCGAAGCATCAACCCAGTGCTGAGGGATTTTGGTACTGGGATAAGGTTAGTAAATAAAAGGGTTTTTAATGCTTATTCACCCAGCCGGAGGAGGAGCGATAGTGCCAGGAATACAGCTATATATTCCTGGAACTATAGTATCCCTTTAACGGTACTTCAGATACAGTTGCATGCGGTATTCTTTTTACAACATGCAATCTTCCCTAGTTTATACCAACTGCTAGTTCCATTAATCCTTCTGCTCACCCAGTCAATTTTCCCGGCAGAAGGTCTCATGATAATTACTCAGTAACTCTGAACCAACCAAATTTCCCAAGTGATGTTGAATGTGGCCATATGTACAATTTGCATTGTTCCAACAGCCTCTCTACATATGTAACCAGTTTGCCAAAGGTATCTTATTTGTCCTCAGTCTTGACTCAAATCGTACACCTGCTAATTTGTCCTCAACTGCCCACAGTGAGGGGGAAATTGGTGTGTGTCTATATAGACAAATTGTTTTCCCCTAAGTAGAAGTGTCACCACAATTACTGCAGAAACGGATGGTCATGTCTTTGAATAAACTACCGTATTTTCCGGCGTATAAGACGACTGGGCGTATAAGACGACCCCCAACTTTTCCAGTTAAAATATAGAGTTTGGGATATACTCGCCGTATAAGACTACCCCTCTTCCAATGCACACCAAATAAAAATTAGCCATAATGTACAGTGAGCAGACAGAGCTACACAGCAAGACATTAAATAATGATAATCTGAAATAGCATTTAAAGCCAAGGTATGTGCCAGGCTGTTTGGGCATATAATCCATGCCTGCTGGTCTAGCACACAGGAGGCTAATTGTGATATATTCTTTTTACTCCCCCCCTCCATTCTTTTTAATCCCCCCAATCCTCCCTACATTCTTCTCACCTCCCATTCCCTGTGCAGAGTGGGTGGCCAAGCTCCTCTTCGTCCTGTCAGTCTCAGTGTGCACTTCCTTTCAGTCCGGCCGGGAACAGGTAACTGAATCTCCTGTACCGCGCGGTACCCGGCCAGACTGACAGGACGAAGAGGAGCTCGGCCACCCACTCTGCACAGGGAAGGGGAGGTGAGAAGAGAGGCAGTGCGGCAGCCGTCTGAGCGCTCTCTATAGAGCGCTCAGGCGGCTGCAGCATTAGAAGGGCTGGCGATGGGGGCGCAGGGCGCCCCTGGCAGCCATATAGACCCTATACCCGGCGTGTAAGACGACCTCCGACTTTGGAGAAGATTTTCCAGGGTTAAAAAGTCATCTTATACGCCAGAAAATACAGTATCTAGTAATAGCAGTGATTGTTACCTTGTCAATCCATATGACTAGCATCCAAAGAAGCTATCCTAAAAGCCACATGCTCCAATGCGTTTGTCTCTTGTTAGACAAAGACCAGGTGGTGCAGCAAGATTGATTCAGGGAAGACCCACGCAAGCCATAGCCCAACAGACTAGCAGTTGTGCTGCAAGCAGGGCATCAATACGGTCATATGAATATACACACACACACACACACACACACACACATTTATATATCACAAATTATGGCTTCTTTTCAAGTATCTACACTTCTTAGAATTAGTTTTACAAGCCAGGAAATTAAACATTCCATAGTGTTCTACAGTCACTCACATGAAATCCAGTAACTACTTGTTTCATGAGCACTAGTTTGATACTCCGATATTTACACTCTGAAAATTGATATTGTATAATACAATTCCATACACTTACACATGCACTATATACACCTGCAGATTAAACTGTACCCAATCTAATATTGGGCAGATCAGGCACAAAGGCCTGGACACAAATGTTTTTTATCTAACAAAATAAATTGAATTTTTTAATTTTTTTTTAAAAAAGAGTGCTGTGATTTGCGCCCTTTTCTACTCTATTGCCAGTCACTAGGGTAAGACATACATTTCTGCGTCCATTAGCTTCCCAAAGCGAGACATCCGCCCATGATGTACTGGAAAAATGATAGTCTCCTGGATTATTACTGTTGATTTCCTAAAAAACAAACAAAAGAATATATATTTTGATACTTAATGTTTTTTTGTATAACACTCTTGTAAGCTTTTCTATACCAGAACAGAGCTAACAATCTATGCAGTTCTGGGTAAACAACCTGCCTCTCAAAGCATTCCTATATTCAGGGATGGGAAACCCCTAGGAGCCAGAAAGCCATGAAGGTGAATCACAACTTTCTGCCATTGCCTCTAAAAATTTATCTATTCCTGGTTCTCCTAAAGAGTGTGGCTTAGCACAAGGTTATCTGGACAAGGCTGTTGAAGCACAGCCTGTGCCATGCCACAAAAACTGATCAGGAGCAATTGGCATTTAATGGATGTGTGATAATTATATTATTAAAGGGACACTAGTCACTAGATCAACTACAGCTTAATGTAGGTGTTCAAGGAAAGTGTGTATATTCAATCCCTGCAGGCAGCTTCATGCAAATGCTGCTTTTTTTTTTACATTGCTGCCTAGGGACACCTACAGTAGTAATCACTCAGGACCACTAGATGTGCTTCCTGGGTAGGTGAGACGTTTAGCATCTCCACACTCTGCATGAACTTTACTCATAGAGATGGTGACTGGCCAGCGTGAAGTTTGGCTCCGTCCCGGCTCTGCCTCCTTGGCTGAGATCATTAGAATTGACAATCTCAGCCAATCCAATGCTTTCCGTAGGAGGTGGGGGCAGCGCAAGCACAGGCAGATCTACTTATATAGTGTTTTTAACACTACATGATCAGGAAAAAATGTATGTATTCCAGACCCTATTAGGGTTTTTTAAAAATATACTAAGAATTCTCACTTGGAAACAGATTACCAGATAAGAGTCAAAGGCATGGAAAGTATATACAATACCAACCAATAATTTGCAGTATATGATTGCATTTTAGTTTTTTCTTCTATATTTTCTCTGGAATAGAAACTGCAGCTTGGATATCAGAAATCTAATCTGAAAGGCCATTTGGTAACACTCTCAAAGATGTAACATTAGTATGCATTTAACAAAGCTGCAGATCGAAGTTCCTTCAAGATCTATGTAGTGGCTGCTTACAGAGGCATCAGAATTGCCACTAATGCAGGCCATAGAGCAGGCAGATCACTAAAATATTTAGAAGGCAGGATTAATCACGTTCAAGTAATTGCTAGCTCTAGCCCTGTAATAAACCATGAGGTCTTGGATTGGACTTTAACCACAAACAGAAGTGGACCCAATGTGAAGTCACAATCTAAAAAGTGGTTACCATGGATCTATTTATGATATACACATTCACAATTATTACTGCTCACAGTCATAACTGGAATTCGCAAAATACCTCACACATACATTTATAAAGGGACATTTGCAGATTTAGAAGGTAAGTCTGCAAATGAACATCTTTTTTAAAAGTAAAAACATTTTTATTTCCCTTAAAAGACACAAATCTAGTTTGCTAGACCTAACTCTTGTGACTGTCAAAACAGATAGAAAATAAAATACTTATATCAAAACCCCTCTGACGAATTAAAAAAAGAAAAGAAAAAAAGGGCACTGTCACCATAACAACTTTGTCTAATTAAAGTTGTTATGGTGCCAGTTGTTATTAATGCATATACGTAACATTCCACAAAAACATGAGTTCCTAGAGGTCACCTTTGAGTGTAAAGTGGAAACTCCAACCCACTATCGTCCTTGCTCCCCTAATGATTCTGTTTTATCAACGACATTTAGAAACTGAACAACAAATTTTCAACTCTACTTTTGACAATTGGTAATATAAAAACAAACAAACAAACAAACAAACAAACAAACAACAACTAAAGCTGCAGACAGCACACTTTTTTTTTTTTTTTTTTTTACCTTTATGGGAAGTCTGGGAAGACACACTGTGCCCAGACAGAAACAGTTTTGTTAAAGGGGCATGCCATGTACCATAACCACTACAGTTCTATGTAGTTATTAAAGTGCAGCGAGTCTGATTGTCATCTCTTCGTTTTAATGTTCTCCTTTGGCACCCATACACCACTCTACAACTACTTGTATAACGCACAAGTTACACTTCTGCTTTTTCCATGCAAAGTCATATAACCTTTGACAGCAATGATAGCTTGAAAGCAGTGATAGAAGCTCTACAATGCAGGACAGCTAAAGAGTAAATAAAGAAAATCTACAAGCTGTAATATTAATCATGTAAAAGGATTTCATTTTGTGGTTTTAAAATCTCATATACATATAGTGAAAATAGTGCTTTATTAATCAATAGGACGCATACAGAAATCGATCAACGTTTCGACCCTACCGGGTCTTTTTCAAGATCCATTATATATATTTATTTTTTTAATGTTTTAACTTTGGATTTTTTTAAGAAACCAAAAAAACTAAGTTTTGAGAATTAAAAATTTTCAACTACAGCATGCTAGTAGTAAGACTATAGTATGCAACATTCTTCTCAAAAAGGAGTGGCTTAAAGGAACACTAGGCACTGTTACAGTTTAAGGTTATTGCCGTAGTTATATTATCTAGTTCACTTGGTGCTTTCCTTCAATCTAGTATTAAACTCCTTCTAAATGGTTTAACAGGAAAAAGGAGGGTCCCCAGCAGCCCTTCCCCGGTATGAATAGGTAGGGCTATGGACTAGTGTAATCTCTGTGTTGGTCAAACCTCCAGTGGGGAGCCTTGTTCAATGTTAAACCATTTGAAAATGGTTTAGCAATAAATAAATAGAGAGACAGCACATGGGACTCCACGAACTGTAATCCACTCAGAAATAGGAAATGTTTATAATGCCTAAAGTGTCCCTTCAACCAGAAAGTATTAAATGTGTTCTGCACATAACAAAATATGAAAAAACATGCTTACAGGGAGAGACAAAGGAATGTTTGGATGGTATGGACAGCAGAAGAGAGCATTTTGTTTAGTCATCCACAGTGACGCTTGCTCCTCACCAATCACACACACACACACACTTTCAATTTTAAAGGAAATATTTGTGGTCACAGTTCAAATGGATATTTGGCATTTCCTGCAACTACTGTTTAAGAAACCCAAGATACAAGGTAGGTAAACTAAAAGACCAAACAAAAAACAGTGCTGTACAGCGCAAAAGATATACACAAACCAAAAAGATGAGATTGGCCGCTGAATTTAGCGAATAATCTAATTCTGTGTATTTAGAGGATCACTCCAGACCCCTAAACAACTTGCTGAAAAGCTTTGTGGGTGAAGAGAGTTTCCTCTTTTTTTTTCCCATTTTGCAAAAAAAGCGCATATTTCAATAAAAATTTACACTTTTATAAATTAACCAGGTTACACCCCCTTGGCTTGCAAGCAGACAACAGGTAGTGTTACCTCCTGGTTTTGTCTACTCAATGCAGCTGAACTCAAAAGGCAGCTATTGCCCAGACTTTTCATTGAGCTGCATTGGGAAGTCTGTGATTGGACAGCCACAGAAAGTCTGGGCGGGGCTAGAAGAGGAGGGCTTGCAAAGGCAGCAGACAAGAGTACTGCAGGTGTAGCAAGCTTGTTCTAAATATATCCCCAATGAAAATATATATATATTTAAATGCATGCAAGTTTTCATTTGGGGTATATCTATTACACAGAGATTTTTATTTATTTTGTATTTGGGCACTGGAGTGTCCCTTTAAATTTGCATAGCGTAAATCAACTATTTAGGTTACATTTCTGATTTCACTAAATCCAGCGAGTGCCCTCATCTATATATTACAATTGTTTTTAATACCCAGTAAACCGTATTGGGGTGATTGTCACTCACCAAGTAAACTCCCTTTCATCCACCGCCTAAGCCTCATAACAGCATTATGAAAAAGTTTGGTCTCCCTGGGAGAAACACCTTAACTAGGAGGATGGGCAGGATGAGATGAAGGACATACTGCAGGGGGTAACCATGAGAAATATAAAAGTTGGGAAAGGCTATGCAAAAGTGTACTAGTAGCAAGTGAGCAAGAAAAAAACTGAAGGTAATCTTATTGATACACCAACGTAAACTGAAGAAACTTTTTTTTGTGATTGAATATGCATATTTAAAAACCCCACAAATGGCTGTTTTAAATTTGAATACGATAATGTTATTACAAAATGTGAAGGAATAAAAAATAAAAATAAAACATCAGCAGCATTATGGTATCAAGATTCAAATAAATAAAATGTAGCCCTTTGCCTCTCAGTAGGCATTTAGGATATCAATGCAAAGTTTACATACATTTACTTATAGACACATTTGTCAATATCAAATGCAGTGAGTATTTTCACGTCAAACACAAGCGAGTATTACATCAATATGATTCAAACGGCACATTAAACTACCAAACAGTAATTTTCCAAATTGCAAAATACTACAAATCCAGTGAGTGCTCTCCTTTGTATTAAGATATTGGGAATGGCTGGGGCAGCACCTTGGTGAGAAAAGCAGGCAAACTTGTGCAGGACCATGTTGTGTGGTAGAACTGTAGAGGCAACATCTAGAGAATATTTTAGTATGGATAGTAGGGATGCACTGAAATGAAAATTCAGGATGCCCTTGGCCAAAAATGACTTTTTTTCCACCAAAAATGGAGGGGGTGACGGAGTGACTGAGGAAGGGTGTTCATAATACCTTTGTTTCCCTGGTGGGCCATCCAGTCTGCAGCTCCGCTGGGCGTGAGCTGCAGACTGCTGTATCTCGCAATATCCAGAAATCAGAGCTTCGCCGTGGTAACCCAAGACACCGCTTTGATTGGCCAGAGATTACAATATACAGCACAGTCTGCAGCTCACACCCGGCAGAGCTGCAGACTGTACTGGCTCTCTACCCGGACAGACGGCCCCTCCCAATTTTCGGCAGATTTTACCCTTTTTCGGCGAAATGGGATAGGCCCATTTTCGGCAACGGAAATTTTGGTGTATCCCTAATGGACAGAATACTAAGTATGCAGAGATTTGTTTATTAAAGTGTCCAGTTAAAAAGAGTATTCCATACCAGTAGCAACTTACCTTTTTAATGCATCACTTCCATTGTAACCCTCCTCATCTCTTGGCTCTGTTTAGACCAGGGGTTCTCAACCCAGTCCTCAAGGACCCCATACCAGTCCAGGATTTAGGGATTACCTGGTGTGTCTTAGGTGTTTAAAAAAAAAAAACACAAAAAAACCCAAAAACAAAACAAAAAAAAACCACACACTTTAGACTCGAAGGTGTTTTTTTTTCGTTTTTCTTCTTTTTCTAAAGTGTTTTTTTTTCCCTTCTTTTTCTAAACACCACAGACACACCCAGGTAATCCCTAAATCCTGGACTAGTAGGGGGTCCTTGATGACTGGGTTGAGAACCCCTGGTTTAGACAGTCAATTAGCTCTTCATTTACTTCCCCTAGTCATACTATAAAGTGCTGGGATATAGGTTCATTCACATTTACAGTTGTAGAGTTTGCATGCCGACAATAGACTTAAAATACACCCAGAATTAACATTCGTTGCCCAGAACTCTTGTTCCAGGCTGGCTACTTATGTCCCAATGACACTGGGGGAGGAGTAGTTACATGTCCGGCAGCAAAGGGGTTAAACTCTGTATAGGCAATGTTTCATAGTGAAATTCTGCTATGCAGATTCCAGGCATTATGATCATGGCTGCGTAAAATGTCCTATTGGGCATTATAGAGAAGCCCCCAAAACTCCCCAGAATGTACTCATCTGGAATCCAGAAGCAGTTTCTATGCCTGACAGACATAAAACAGAATTGACTTTGGCAGTACGGAACACAATCTCACTGAAAATGTCATGGTGGTTGGAGTAACCCTTAAAGGGGCAGGCAATTAGCCACTTCAATTCTTTTGAACATGGCTTACAGCAAGGGGTTCTATGGAATATTCTGCAAGGTTTTGCATACACGAGATGTCTGTCTTAAAATTGGCAAAACTTGATGGCAAAAACTTAAGACATCTAGCACTTGTTTGTTTTTGTTTTTAACATGCTAGTTTGAACATAAGAAAAAATATCTTTAACTGAATTGGAATTTCAATGAGCAGTTTTTCAAAATGTTTGCAAACGAATAAGAATATAATCCCAAAAGGTGGCAATTGGGTAGGTTAGTTTTTAAAGGTGAGCAGCATTATGTTTTTTAAAATGCAAAAACTCATTTAAAAAAAAAAAAAAAGGTTTTTTTTTTTTATTATACAAAGCATGCAAACTCCAACGGTAGGATGGGGAACATGCACTTAACTATCTTCATTCATGAAAGGTGAACGTTAAAGGGGGAACTAAGCAACATAACCACAGACCCTCCTGGTACAAAGGACCACGCCCATCCCAGCCTCCTTGCTAGTGTGGAATTACCACTTCCATATTATCAATGCCCATGTCAAATTTGTCCAACCTGGACAACACTGATTGACTGTGTTCTCTGTGGGTAAGCCAAGCTAATGTTGCTGGAAGTGCTTATTTACGCAAACAATGCTACACTCACAGGCAGATTGAACGATTTCTTCTTAAAATTGCAATGTCACTTCTGTCTTCAATGCAATTCTAACAACAGCAAAAACATATGTGAGGAAGGCTGAACTTGATGGACGCAAGTCTCTTTTCAGCTATGTAACTATGCAAGTAAGATTTGTTAAAAGGAGCACTAAGCACCAAAACGATTTTGCTTAAATTAGTCAGATCATGCCTTCACCAACTTTTTGAAGGCTCAAGTGTTGTAGCTTCTCTTATGGAATAGTGGGTTTAAATGAGAATTTCTAAACTTCTTCTGCGTTATTGGCATTCTAGTGCTTACAGCAGCCTCCTGTGTAAAGTTAAATTAAATTAACGAAACAAGGGATAAGAACTTCTAATGGAGATGCACTGTGCTTTAAAGATGAAACATTCTTTTCATTGAGGCTGTGCAAGTTAAAACCAGGGGATATGTAGGTGGTGCTACATAAAGTAATCTAACACCTAAATGACAGAAAACAGAGTAAAGAGACTGAGGCAGTATCTATACACTAAAATGGCTCCATTGAATGGACACTGCACTGCCTAAATAGAAAAAAGTGTTTATTAGGTATACCTTTAATGAAAAACATGCATGTATTTTCTCATTGTGGTTATATCTAAAGCAGTGTTTCCCAACCCAGTCCTCAAGGCACACCTATCAGTCCAGGATTTAGGGATTACCCAGTTGTGTCCAAGGTGTTTTTTTTCTTCTTTGTAAAAACACCTTAGACACAACTGGGTAATCCCTAAATCCTGGACTGGTAGGTGTGCCTTGAGGACTGGGTTGGGAAACACTGATCTAAAGACAGCCTGCAAAAGCTGCAGCTATTTTGTCTGCTCCCTTTGCAAGCCACCCGCCCCCTTCTTCCCCAGCCCAGAGTTTCATTGGCTGTCCGCTCACAGATTCCAAATGCAGCTCAATGATAAATCTTTGCAAGACAAGTGCTCTGAATAACTGCATGCTTCTTGAGTTATACAACAAGGAAGTAATAGGACTAGTTTACTGATTGACAGGCTGGAGGTTGTAAGGTAATTTATAAAACTGCCAATTTCTGTTAAAATCTACACATATCAAGCAAGCTAGAGTTTTTTTAGGTGTCAGGAATTTCCCTTTAAGCTAAAGTAGTACAGTGCCTATAGCATTCTTTTAAAGAACCACTTCACACCCTTGCTTGCTGAAGTGCTTTATGGACAAAGAATGTCCCAAAAAAGTCAGTTTGTAAAAGTGGAGATTTCTGTAAGAAATCCCCCTGTGGTTGTCTTCTTGCATTCATTAGCTCCACTGACCTAACAAAGGTGTCAGGCACACTCTACTTGAGCGAGCCGGCCTCACCTCTTGCAGGTCTCAGATCACTATGCTGTAAGTGTGTGACAGCATGGAGAGAGACCTTCTGAGACTTCTCAATGAGAAGAATTTGATTGGCTATTTCGCTGTGAAAATACTGAAAAGTCTATTCCGGGGAAAAAGTTGAGGGCTTGCAAAGGCCTGCAACAAACTGCAGCTTTTGCAAACTGCTTTAAAATATACCCCCATGAATACATGCATGGGGGTATATCTACTTACCCCTGAATTTAAATTTTAGAATGTTCTTTTAACTATCCTGCAGGCTCACTAGGTCCTCTACAGACCAATTTTGTACTATTATGGATGTGTTCGAGATGATCGTTCTTGGTAGCTTCATCTGCCGAGAACTGAAGAGATAAAGATGATGGTACTGACAAATACATTTACCAAGTACATTGAGGAAGGAGATGGATAGATCTGTTGGCTTATAAGAGACTTAGCATGTTAATTATGCTAAGTTTGTGTAACTCCTTGGACTAAAATAAACAAAAAAAAAAAAACACTCCTCAGAACACCCTAGCTTTGACCTTCCTTTGATATTTGTTTCTTTGCTAAAGCTGCTCATACAGATACAGAACTGCTGCAAGGGACTATTAGATAGTGACTATACAGCATATTGACGAGTAGTTTAAATGTATACTTGTCCCCAAAAATAAAAATAAAAGATATTCAAAGATTTACTATAAACTTACCATGCTAATATTTTGCCAGGAGAGTTTATTTAATATAGAATGCATATATTATACAGAATTTCACTTACCTACCACATTTGCTTGCAGATATGAACATACACCCCCCCAAAATACTAACTAGCAATGCAATTTATATTTTGTTAAACAAAACATTGCACCTATTTAAATCTGTAAAACAACTCTTACCTCTAAAACCTCTCTGCAACTCTCCAAGCCAATCTGCAGCAGCAGTTGCTTCACCCTTTTCCGAGCTTTTCTAATTTTTTCAAGGTTATTAACAGGTGGTTGAAACATTTTGACAGGAGCGCTGTATTAAAATGAGACAAAGAAGGAAAAAAATAAAATGTAATTAGCATAATCATAAAAACTACATTATATAAAATACAAACATCCTCAGATAAATGACAAACTTTTAGAATATATGTATTCAATATATTTTGCAGTTAAATGGGCTTTTATTTTCAAGAAGACACGGACCTCTATCTTTTATGCTTTTGGGGAGATACTGAGAGGTTGGGTGATGCCCAGTCTGAGGCTTCCTGATTGAACATCAGATGTTGAGTGCCAGGGGCAGAGAAGAGTCAGGTACAAGAAATATACAGAGACAAAGTAGTCCCCACTTTGCCTCTGTATACCTATTGACTGGGTTGGAATTTAAAAAAAAAAAAAAAAGTAGGCCCTTGTTAACCCCTTCAGGACGGAGTCAATAGTGCACGTTCTGATCAAAACAAAATGTTAACAAAACCTGGAATTTGCGCTATATGTCTGTTCAACTGTAATTCACCTCTTTCATATTAAGTGCACCCACACTTCTTATATATCATTTTGTTCAAGAGAATAAGGACTTTAATTTCTCGTGGACTATTCACATATGAAACATAACTTATGAATAAAATGTACAAAACAAAAAATAAAATAAAAAAAATTGTAGTTCCGCCTGACATTTTAGCTGTAAATGTCATGATACTGTTCGCTTTTACTGCAATAAAATGCACATATTTGTAGTCAGCAATGTCTCACGAGTAAAACAGTAATCCCCCATTAATAGATTTTACAGTGTTTTAGAAAGTTACAGGGTCAAATATAGCACATTCCATTTTTCCACATTAAAATTGGCCAGATTAGTAATGTTACCTTTGAGACTGTGTGGTAGCCCATGAATGAGAATTACCCCCATGATGGCATACAGTTTGCAAAAGCACACAACCCAAGGTATTGCAAACACTGGCCAAAGTTAGCGTTCATATTTGTTTTTGTTTAAAGCAAAAAACATATTTGGCCAGTGTTTGTAACCAAGTGGCTACCAAAAATGACTGGACACACCCCATTTGCAATACCTTGGATTGTCTACTGAACAAACATAAGTGTTTCAAAACAGTAAAACATATTACAACAATATCATCAGTAAAAATGTTGTTCATGTGTGAAAAAATGCAAATAAACTTCACTTTTACTGAAAATATCGCTGTAATACAGTTTTTCATTTTCAAACACTAATATTTGTGTTCAGCAAAGTCTCCCGATTAAAACAGTACCCCCCCATGTACAGGTTTTATGGTTTCTTGGAAAGTTACAGGGTTAAATATAGGGCTTGTGAATTAAATTCTCTGCACTTTCTGCCTGGGTTGTCAGGCATGTCAATCAAATTTGAATTAATTAAATCACAATTATGTTCAAAGATACTTAAATATACACGTACAATTTTAATATACCATATATACTCGAGTATAAGCCGAGGTACCTAATTTAACCACAAAACACTGGGAAAAAAAAAACTTATTGACTCAAGTATAAATCTAGGGTGGGAAATGCAGCAGCTACTGGTAAGTTTCAAAATAAAAATAGATACCAATAAAATTACATTAATTGAGGCATCAGTAGATTAAATGTTTGAATATTTATTTACAGTGTGTGTAAACTGGGTGGGGGTAGGGCGTTTTTATTATTTAAAATATTTGTATTTATTATTAAATACTTGGCCAGGGAGGGGGGATATGTCATTCCCTGGTGGTCCGGTGGAATGGGCTGTGCTCTTACCTTCCCAGCAGCTCCCTGTGTAAATCTCGTGGCCTGCATCTCGTGACAGCCGCGGGACTCGCAAGATTTACACAGGTGAGCTGTTGGGAAGGTAAGCCTTTTTGTTAGGTTGTGACTTGTACCTTGCTGTGGTTCTTTTCACTATCGTGACAGTGGGCTATGCACACAGTGTGAAAACGTTTGCTACCCTCTCAGGCAATAGAATTCCCTAATAAAAAAAAAAAAATAATAAAAAAAAAAAAAATATATATATATCCATTTTTTACCTCCTTCCCTTTCTAGGTGCAGCTGTCAGAGCGGAACAAAAAAAAAAAAAAAAGCAAGACACTGGGAATTTGTGTCTTCAAATTTAATGCAATAAACTGCCTTTCCTATCTGGATTACAACTTTTATTATGATCCGTGAGATTCTCGCTGAGGATGGTTAACCCCCATGTCATGAGCCCAGGGGTCCGGGGGTGGGGGTGGGGTGTGTATATATATATATATATATACATATACACATACATACACACACACACGTATTTAAATTCTACTTGTATACTTATGTAATTATATTTATATATAGATATATTAATAATAAAATACAGTTAGAATGAAATTACATATGTATATATAATTTATTTTAATTTTTTTCAAATATTTTATTTATTATTGTAATTATACGTGTGTATATAAATATAAAATATATATCTTCAATCCAAGTGTAAAATACATTAAAATACACTACATATGACGTTCACATGGCACAGAATACCTAAACGGCGTTAAGGGGTTAAACAGAAAAAACCTGCCAGGAGAATCCTGAGAATTTGAGTCAAAGTCTAAACCACTAAATTAGAGGTAAACCTGGGATACTCCAGCTACTCCTCACCTCTATCTGCTATGTACTTGTTTGCCTGTAGGCTAGTTCCCAGTGGCGTACATACCAGGGTCGCGGCTGCGACCGGGCCCGGCCCACCAGGGGGCCCGACCGCCCCTGCGACCCGGTATGTACTCACTGGGCCAGCCTCTTCTCCTGGGGGGCCCAGGAGCCGGCCACCCCAGGGTCCCCCCGAGGCTGGCACCCGGCCGGCGCGCGAGGGAGCACTCTCCCCTGAGTGCTTCCTCTTCAGCTCCCTCGCGCACCGCACTGATACCGCAGCCAGAAGATGACGTCATCTTCCGGCGCCAGCATCCCTATGCGGCGCGCGAGGGAGCTGAAGAGGAAGCACTCAGGGGAGAGTGCTCCCTCGCGGGCCGGCCACCCGCCCACCAGGTGACTGGCCGCCCAGGAGCCCAGCAGCACCACTGGACCCCAGGGAATCCCCTCAGCTCTCCAAAAGGTAAGAAGGCTGGGGGGATTCAATTTAAAAAAAAAAGTGTGTGTGTTTGTGTTAGTCTGCTAGTGTCAGTGAGTGTGTTTGTGTGTGTGTTAGTGTCTGCTAGTGAGTGTCAGTGAGTGTGTTACTGTGTGTCTGTTACGGAGTGTGTTTGTCAGTGAAAGTGTATGTTTTGTAAGTGAGTTTGTATGTATGTGTCGCCTAGTGTGTCTCTGTCAGTAAATGTATGCGTCTGTTCGTGAGTGTGTGTCTTTAGCATTTACCTTTCTCCAGCGCCGGACTCCCTTGGCGCTGGGGATCCCTCCGCCTCTCAGCTTCGACTGCACATGCGCGGCATTTAAACCGCCCATAGGAAAGCATTACTCAATGCTTTCCTATGGACATTCAGTGTCTTCTCACTGTGATTTTCACAGTGAGAATCGCGGAAGCTCCTCTAGCGGCTGTCAATGAGACAGCCACCAGAGGCTGGATTAACCCTCAGTGAAACATAACAGTTTCTCTGAAACGGCTGTTTTCAGCTGCAGGGTTAAAACTGGAGGGACCTAGTACCCAGACCACTTCATTGAGCTGATGTGATCTGGGTGTCTGTAGTGGTCCTTTAAAGTGTGTGTGCATACCGGGGTCGCAGCCCTGCAACCAGGTGCCCGCCACCATGTGTTGCGGCCCGACCCGCGCCGAGTAAGCCACAGATCAATTTTCGCACCGGGGCCCCATGGGTCATGTGTACGCCACTGCTAATTCCTCTTATATTCCTTGATCTATCCCCACTAGACCATATATATGTTCGAGCAGGACCTCTTCAACATTGCATTCACAAAGTATTCACAGCCCATCATTGTTTTCACTTTTTTATTGCAGACGTATGCTAGTTTTTTTGTGGGGGGGAGGGGGGGGGGTTTAAATATTTTTAAATAGTGTTTTTGCCAGATACGTCTACATTCAATAACTAATTTAAATAATTATACGACCATTATTTTAAACAAAAACATTTTTTTTTAAATGAAATATTACATTGATCCAAGTATTCAGACCCTTAAAAGGGACACTATAATCACCAAAACAAATTTGGGTTAATGGAATGGATTTGGTGAATAGATCAGGCCCTTGCAGTCTCATTGCTCAATTCTCTGCCATTGGGAGTTATATCACTTTGTTTATGCAGCCCTAGTCACACCTCCCTGTATGTGACTTACACTGTCTTCCTAAGCACTTCCTGAAACATAACAGTCCATTTAAGCTATAATTTGCTGTAAGCCCCCTCTGGCTGGCGATCAGATCAAAGATCGCACTTCGTTCCAGCAGAGGGAGTAAAAGGCATGGGAGACTGTTCCTCCTGGTGAGCCTACCTGCTAGCAGAGTAGTTTCAGGCTTAAGTGAACATGCCACCACTGGAACACCAGGGCTTGCAGCATTATGTCCCCCTTGCCTAGTAAAAGGTAAGAAAGAAGGGAGGAGACATTAAGATAGATTTTCACATCTTACCCACCTACACACAGCATAGACCCTATGCACCCTTCACACACACTGCCCCCATCTCTAACACAGACTGCCCACACACACACACACACACACACACACACACCACCCTTCACCTTTTTTTATTTATTTATTTTTTAAAGCGCACCTGCGTTATAAAATTAGTTCCTGCAGCACTGGTGGGCGGTAAGGAAATTTTACCATCAAAGATACAAAAGTGAGCAGTAGGTATTAACCCCTTAAGGACATATGACATGTGTGACATGTCATGATTCCCTTTTATTCCAGAAGTTTGGTCCTTAAGGGGTTAAAAGGTTGACTACCCCTGGTGTAAATCATAGCTAGAAGAGATGAGGATAGGACAGTATAAACAGTGATTTAACTCGTAAATGGTAGACAATTGAGCAATTAGACTGCAGGGGCATGATCTTTACACTAAATCCATTCCATAAAGCTAAGCTTGTTTAGATTCCTATAGCACCTCTTTAACTTTGTACTTTACAGCCTCAAGTCTTTTAGCGCATGAGGCAACAAGCTTTGTATGTCTGCATCTGGGTGGCAACCGACGTTCATCTCTGCAGCTTTTTCCAGCACTGAAGATGGATGGGGACTGTCAGTAGACAGACATTTTCAGGGCGCTCCAGAGATGTTCAACTGGGTTTACGTTCAAAGCACTACTCACAAAACATGCTACCACCACCATGCTTTACAGTTGGGTTTTTATTGTAAAGGTAAAAATAATTTCCTCTGTCAAAGTCTGAGAGCCCTATAGGTGCTTTCTTGCATATTCCAAGCAGGCCTTCATGTGTCTTGCAGTGAGGAGAAGCTTCAGTTGGGAAAATAAGCCACAAAGCTCAGATAGGTGGAGTGTGGCAGGGATTGTTGTCATTTTGTGATTTCTACCATCTCCACACATTATCTCTAAAGGACACCTAGAGTGACCATCAAGGTCTTTGTCACCTCTTACCAAGGTTCTTCTCCCCAGATTCCTCTGTTTGACTGGTTTCTCTAAAGTTCTTCCATTTAAGACGTATTAAGTCCGTTGAAAGTTTTGGCAGACTTTCACAGATTTCAACACAATCCTTTCTACAAGCTCTGTGGTCAGTTCCTAAAACCTCTGACTTGGTTTTAGCTCTGAAATGCATTTACAGCTATAATACCTTACATTGATCAGCTACAACATTAACATTACAACTACTTTAATAGAAATTTGGAGGTCAAAGGACAAAAACTAACTCTTTGTCATGTTTCTCAAACCATTCCAGAATAATTTTTGCATTGTTCATATCCTGCTAAAAGAGGCCCCTGCCACCAAGGAGCGACATTGACCAGCACCACCTATACCCCTTCATGGCAAATTAACAACCACATAAACGATGGACAGAGGTCACAACGCACCCCTGTCTGACGTCATGCCAAGACCCAATTAAATGCTTCTAGAGAAACCTTTGGACCATTTAACCATCTCATAAAAGCTACAATAGCTCTTCTGTGTGATCAGACCAGACAGGCTAGACTTCACTCATGTGCATCAATGAGCCGTAGGCACACATGACCTCAACAATGGTTCACCGGTTGTTCTTGCACCACTTTTGGTAGGTACTATCCACTGCATACCAGAAACACCCCACGAAACTTGCTGTTTTGGAGATCTGAGCCAGTAGTGAAGCCATCACAATTTGGTCCTTGTATAAGTCACTCCAATATTTTCGCTTTCCCATCTTTCATGCTTCCAACACATGAAATTCAAAAACTGACTTCATTTGCTGCTAAATATACCACCCTTAACTGGTGCCACTATAACCATATAATCAATGTTATTCACTTCACCTGTCAGTGCTTTTAATGTTGAGGCTGATCAGTGTATATAGAGACATGTGTGCCTTTCCAAATCATGTCCTATCAATTGAATTTGCCACAGGTGGACTCCAAAGTGTAGAAGCATCTTAGAGCAATTGGATGCATCTGAGCAACAGTTCATTATAGCAAGAAACAATTCTTGTCAATGTTACATTTCATTTCTATTTTCCTTTTAAAAAAATAAAATAAAACTTAGCTAATTTTAAACTAAACGTTTTTTACTTTGTCATTCTGGAATATTGAATGTAGAGTGACGTACATTTAAAAAAAAATAAATAAAAAAAATTGAAAGAATTGTAGCACAGAGCTGCAACATAATGTTAATAAAATGAAGGTCTGAAAAAAGTCCACTGCAGTTGATATTGTACTAGTACTATGGCACGGTTTCCTTCATGGTAGGAGTTAAATCACTTTGTTCGTGCAAATAATTTAAAGGGACACTATAGTCTCCAGAACAACTACAGCTTAATGTAGTTGTTCTGGTGAGTATAATCATTATATGCAGGCATTTCCATGCAAACACAGCCTTTTCTGAGAAAAGGCAGTGTTAACATTGCCCCTAGAGACACCTCCAAGTGGCCGCCACTCAGTTGGCCACAGGAGGTGCTTCCTGGAGTGGTGCTATTGGGCAGACTAGATGGGCTGAAGGTTCTCATTTGCCGTCACATTCTATGTGCAGCAAAGTAGGCAGCACTGCAGTTCAGCGCTCTGCATAGGGACGCTGAATTTTCCTCATAGAGGTATTGATTCACTGCATCTCTATGAGGTGCCGATTGGCCAAAACAGTGTTTCTCCCCGCCCCATATCAATTTTTTTTTTGGGATTAGCTAAAAATCGGTAGTTCTGATTATGTAATCCAGGAGGCTAGTCAAGGGCGGGGCCAGCGCTGGCAATAAGGTGAGTTTTAATGCCTTTTTAGGGGGAGGGGGAATTGGCAACAGCAAGACCGTAACCCTAGTTCTGGGCTAGCTAATGACACCCCAATGAAGGTATCTGTGGTAGAGATACTTAAACACTGCACAGACAGTCTCCAGGCACAATGAACACCTCAAAGCCCTGCAGTGGCTATTTTGCAAAATAAAGTAAATGTTAAATGAACCAGCATTACCTTTCTGCAGGCTTTTAAAAAAAGAAAAACACAAACTTGTAGCTTTATTTTTATTTAATTAGACAGGCTTTTACAAAAGACGTTAAAGGGTTACTCCAACCACTATACCTTTTTGGTAGGTGCCTGTATGTGCAGAGATATTGGCAATACTCTGCCAGAAGCTAGTTGTACTTCCAGCATACGTGACTTGGACAAACTGGAATTCTGTTCCAGGCTGCCTCATGTCAATTCTGTGCATAAAATAGGTCTCTCGACAGCTTCTCCATTACAGGCAGAGCTCATTGAACGTAGTCATCCCCTCCTCCCTATCACATCCACAATTTTTTTTTGTCACCCTCCCACCTCCTCCTCCTCTCCCTCCCATCACTGACTCCAAATGCTTCTCTAGAATAATTTAATTGGACATTGGCATGTCAGACAGGGGCGCAACGAGATCTTCGTCCAGCGCTGGAATAAAGAAGTAAAACTTTAATGTTAATACTTTTGTTGCGTTTATTTTGGGGAGGGCCTAAAGAACTTATGCGCTTCACTCAGCCTGGCTTACAACATGCATGGTCTTTCCACCAATATTTAAAGCAGCAGGTGACGACATCAACCACCTCAATTCCAGTTTTGAATCCATAGAATGTATTAACCCGTTGAATGTCAGAGGGAAAGCAATCAAAATGGTAATTCTTAGCAGGAGACAACTTGCATTTGTCCATTCATTGCAGTTGTCCTAAAGAAACATGCTAACATAAAAATATTTCTGTATACCCCCTCCCACTCGTTAAAAAATAAAAATGCAAACTCACCTTTTAACCAGCTCCACCGTGGTGCTGCAGCTGCTCCTTTAACAAGATCATCATTTTGAATGATCTGAGGGCCAATCTAGGCATCAGGAGCCTACAGTGCATGTGTGGCAATCAGATACTTCTCAAAGAAGCATTGAATTTAATTAAAGTATTCAAATATTTATGTGAGGCACTAACCAATAACTACACTTCAGGGATGTCTAACTGTGCCGTTAAATGAACATTAGTCACCAAAACAGCTCCAGCTTAATTTAGCAGTTTTGGTGTATAGGTCATGCCCCTGCTCAATGCTCTCCCATTGAGGATTGAAATCACTTTGTGACTTACACAGGCTACACACTTCCATTATTGAACAGTCTGTTTAATTATACAGTGGAACCTCGGAACATGAACGTTTCTGTTCACAAAAAAATTTGGTATTTGAACTAAAACCTTGAGTAAAAAAATGGTACGCGAACAATCTTCGGTACGCAAACATTTATGTTTATGGAAGGCTGTGCAAGTCACATGCAGGGAAGTATGATTAGGGTTCATAAACAAAGGGATTTAACTGGTAAATGGCATTGAGCAGTGAGGCTGCAGGGGCATGTTTTATACACCAAAACTGCCCCATTAAGCTAAAATTGTTCAGGTGACTATAGTGTTCCTTTAATCAAATTTACATGCATAGCTATGAAAAATATCGATTCGGTTTTCAAACGGAACTCGAACAGCCTTCTGGAACGCATTAGGTTCGAGTTCCGAGGTTCCACTGTAGTTCTTGTCCCCTGCTAGGATTTTTAGCTTCTAAATCTACATAGGAAAGCATTGTATAATGCTTTTCTATGGGGAAGTCCTAATGCGGGCACGGAAAATGCCACGCATGCGCACTGGGTGTCTCCCAGGAACGAAGGCGTACCCAATAAAGTATCATATAGGTTTACTCCAAACATCAAAACCACTATAGTGATGCCAGGAGTATCCTGGTCCATTAATGTTAACCGTTTAGTAGGGGTTATCCCTTTAACCAAGTGCCTGCCAGACTCAATACTCTAACTTTTCCAGAGCCAAAACAAGCTAACAGTTAGCCAATGGCTGACATTTTAGTTCCTGGTTAATACTACCAGAAGTGTAGTTGTACCTGCAGCAGTTGAGGGGTTAAACCCCCTACATGCAGTGTTTCACTTTTAAACGCCACACAGTGATGATGGTACTTTTTAGGTAATATCCATTAGTGGCTCCGCTGTTCCAATCCCAATAAAACAACAGACACTGTCTACAAAGGCTCAGAGAATAGCACTGCCCCCAAGGGACTCTGTAACAAATAAACCCAATTCCTGGTTTGTTTGATTGATAGCAATGATGGGCTATGGCAATGCTCGGTCTATGGGAACATCCTGTGCGAGCTCTACAACGGACAGTGACGTCACGGCTCCGTGGGCGGGGTTACCGCGCGAGCCGCGCATGGAACGTGGCCCTAGATTGCGCTGTATATGGTGGGCACACCGCCCCGCCCCCCACCGGGTCACAAAACAGCCGGAAATAACGGCGGGCTGCATTAACCCATTGACTCCCAGAGCCCCGTGCGGCCGGCGCTGCCATTGATCAATCACCATATACAGTATAACACTATGTATGCATGTACCCCCCCGCCCCCTATCACACCATTAAACACACACACCCCCCATTACCCGCGCAGCACGTGCCGCCGCTCCCGCTCTGTCCGCGCTCACCTGTCTGTGGCGGGAGCCGCTCCTCGGATCGCACTGTTCCTCCTCCTCCCCCTCGGGCTGCGCCGTTACACCGTGTGGGTGGGTGAGCACGATCCCTCTCGCCGCCCGCTCCGCTGCCGCACGGTCCGCCGCCGGCCCGCCTTCTCCCACACTGACTCACTCACCGCCACAAAATGGCGGCAGGGGATACAGCGAGGAAGTGACGTCAGGACACGGTGATTTGCATATACTGAGTGTCCAATCAGCGGGAGCGTCCATCCAGCGGGGGGCTTACAGGGGCCCCCGGCTCGCTGCTTGGGGGCGTTGTTGTTTATTGATGGCTATTTCGGGGTGCCCGGGCCCTTTAAGGTGCTGCCCTGGTGCAGTGCTTCCTGGCGCTCCTCGGCTGTCTCCCACACTGAGGGCTGAGACAAAATGTACAACTCGCGCGAGCGTTACAGAGAGCACGTGACGTAATAAGGGGCGGGGCGACGGGGATGCTGGTGACGAGTTAGTCACGTGGCTGGTCGAAGCCCCTCCCCCTTATATGCATATTGTGTGAGGGGTTGACAAGCTTAGCCCCTCCCACTCCCTAACATCATCAGCCAATAGAACAATACCAATAGGTTTTTTTTTTCCTAATTGGAGGGAAGTACTATATTTATCACTACTGCAACCAGTTGAAATTTTAATTTATTTATTTGGCATACCAAGTAAATAAATTAAAATGTATTTACAATGCAAATTACATGGGTAACCTATAGATATTAAAATGTATAGTATACAATTGTATCCAATGAGTACAAACATTGAATCAAATTTATGGTTGTCACCCTAGATATATATATATATATATATATACGCATATTATAATTTTATGATTGATAAAGGGGTACAAGTCCACAGTCTTACTATAGAGCAGAATATATCACTATCAATATCACTAAAACCAATAAGCATTGATCAATTTCTGATGTCAGATAGGTACAAGTGTGGCGCTTCTGTAGGATTCATCATTCACTTTTATCCTACAGTACACACTATGTATTATATTGTTCTTTTTTTAGGCATTTCTGATATTCGCTTGCCATCTGTGTTGTGTACATATATAAGTATTGATTATTTAATTATATATTTGTATTGTTTTTGGAGGGTGCACCGTGCACTTTTACTTTGTGTTTTGCACATTGTTGTTTTTTGTATTTCAATAATCAATTTCTATTGGTCTATATGATACAAAAATCAGCACACACCACTTAAAAGTAATATTAAAGCTTACAAATACCTGACATATGTAAAAATAATGGAGATTTAGTTACAGTATAAAACGAAGGTGCAAAACCTGGAGGTTTTAATCAATATTCATAAGAGCAGTCTTTTGGTAGTACATAGTACAACCTGTCGAAATTGGGATGTGTTGGTAGTGTGGCCGCCTTTCTCTATATATAATCACATACTGTAACTTAATAAACTACAGGTATATCATTATCAGGAGTTTCTATTATTATTTTTTTTCCTAAAAGGTTAAGGACTTTGAAGTTAGTTTGAAGTGAAGTGCGCTGATTTTTCTGTTGTATCAACCAGTATTTGTCACAAGCAAATTTGTCTCTCATCTGTCTACAGAGTGAAAACAAGTGATACTCAAAGAAACAAATAAAAAGTGTGAAATGCATGAAATACAAGAAAATGTGCTGCAAAAGTATTTTGTGTTGCCTGCGTATCATAAATCTCTTTCTGTAAGTTTTAATATAAGGTTTAATATCTAATTAAATAATTATTGTTGATAAAACATGTACATTTTGTTTATCTTATTATATGTGAAATCTGTACCTTGAATTATAGAATTTATTTACTAAATACATTAAAAAACATTATTGGCCAAGCAGAAGAAATAGGATATGTAAAACAAGTATTAAAACATATTATGTTGTCTAAATGAGTTTACAGCTCAGATCAGCATGTATTAAAACTTATTGTCTAGTACTCATTAACTAATCTAAAGCAACAGTTATATTCAACCTGTTTTACTATGTATGCATGCTTACTATAGTTCACTCATGTATTACTCTAGCCTATATAAAATTGTGTAGAAAATTCAACTGTTAAATGTTTGTTTATATGCTTGTCGAAGGTGTTGGGGCATGACGAGCCCACTTGTTATATTTTCATGCACGCAAAAATAAAGAATAAAAAAATATAAATATTATGTGAGAAAAGTGAAACATAAAACATAATATAAAACGAGCCTGGTTATCAAATGCGGATGTCACATAGTGCACCTCTTTCTTGGTAAATAACTGTGAGTGATACATTTATACTTACAACACCTGAAATTATATACATATAGGGTGCATTTTCTGATGTTCAATATTAGATTTATAAAGGTACTGTTATATTAACAGCACAAACTGTTTATTATAACATTTTTCATATAATATAATAGTAGTTTTTTACACTGTAAATATCTGGTTGCAGCTATTATACAGAATTCAAAGGACAGTCCTAATCTATAACATGCAGGCAAAATGCATCTCCAGTGCTCTCCCTTGCTAACTGACTATTCAGGTCAAACCTTTACTGGGGAGGTTATGTCCCCTACATAGTTCTTTTATCCCATCCAATGTTTTTCACAGGGCACTTGGGTAAAATAATTTGTAATTTCTTTTACTATATTATTGATGCGGTGCTTTTTGTTTTTTATTAATGAAAGATTTGAATAAGAATACATATTGAGTAGCCTGAATAAATTGCAACTCATACACTTTGGGGTTATTTGGAGTGGAATCAGTTATTTTAATTATTGCCTTTATTAGGCATATACTTTCTTGAGTTAAAACTATTAAGTGAGATGCCACCATAACCATATACAGAGTGCCTCTGTAATTTACATACTTGCGTTTTCTTAGATGTCATATCTTTAAAAACATTCATGGATCAGCCACAACATTAAAACCACTGACAGCTGAAGTGAATAACATTGATTATATCATCATAACGGCATCGGTCAAGGGGTGGGATAAATTAAGCCACAAGTTAACAGTCAGTTCTTGAATTTCATGTGTTGAATGCAGGAAAATTAGGCACGCGAAAAGATCTGAGTGACAAGGGCCAGATAGCGATGGCTAAACGACTTGGTCAGAGCATCTCCAATACGGCAAGTCTTGTGGGGTGTTCCAAGTATGTAGTGGTCAAAAAGTGGTGCAAGTATGGACAAACAGTGAACTTGCATCAGGGTCATGGGTGCCCAAGGCTCATTCATGCACATTGGGAATAAAGGCTGTCCGATCACATGGAAGAGCTACTGTAGCTAAAAATGGCTGAAAAACATAATGCAGGCGGCAGGCCATGATGGAAAGGTGTCAGAACACACAGTGCATCGCAGTTTGCTGCATATGAGGCTGTGTAGCTGCAGACAGGTCAAAGTGCCCATGATCACCCCTATCCACTACCGAAAGCACCTTCAATGTGGATGTGAGCGTCAGAACTGGAAAAATGAGCAATGGAAGAAGGTTGCCTGGTATAATAAACCCTTTTTTAGATCCAGCAGATGGTGCATTTGTGTTGTTTACCTGGGGATGAGATGGCACCAGGATGCACTATGGCAAGTAAGCAGGCTGACAGAGGCAGTGTTATGCTGTAAACCCTTGGATCCATGCATTCATGTGGATTTGATAGTATATATGAAAAAGGAAATCTCTATAAATGTGCTAAATAAATATAAATATACAACCTGATATAATACAATGACAATAATAACTAGAAAGAAAAAAAATATATACAAAATATAGTGTAATAAAAGTGAGAGGGGGAGGTAGAGCGCTCACAAAATGCTTGTGAAAAGCAGGCACATCTCCCTGGAGGGGTGAACCCAGATGTAGACTTCCAATAAATGTTTTGTGGTATGAGACTTTCTAGTAGTAAGGAGGATTTAAAAAAAAAACAAGGATCATGCAATACACTGCATTACAAAATTTATTTGAATGGATAAATGCACTTACAAACAAAGAGGGAAAATCGTCATGTTTCCACTGCAAGTGTACCTCAAGATAAAGATGGAACTCAATCACTGCAAATGATGAATCCACCAAAGTTGAGGACAAGCAGCTACAAAATAAAATACAATGCTGATACAAAGATAAAAACTAAATATAAGAGTCCAGCAGCAATCTGTAATCTAATGCATTTCATCCCACAACGTGGACTAATTCAGGTATGTCTGTGATTCCTTTTTTGAATTCTCATATGTAGATGGTTCAATAGAATAATTGGTGGTACCTAATTCATCGGTTCCGCCTTAGAACATATAAATGCCTTACATTTCCATTGTGCATGACATCGCATCGGTCCGGAATGGAGATGGAGCTAAATGCAAATGACACATTCATTTCACACCTCCTTCGAGTGGGTAGCACATGCGTTTCAATAGCATGTGGATGGTTAATGCATTGTTCAGGGACATCAATGGGAGCAGTTATGTGGACTTTATGTGGACTTTTTTGCAAATTGATACATTTTACAATAATATGCAAACAAGATTAGAAAATATGTCAACTACATCAATGATATCCTAATGTTGTTGAAAGGCACAAAAGAAGAAGCTGAAAATGTTGTTAAGTATATCAATCAACTACCCTTCCCTATCATAGTCACATCTTATATTTTCTCAGCAGCCATTCAATTTTTGGATCTTGAAATCCTCTTGATAACTGGTAAGTAAAATATCAACTATATTCCAAACCAACTGACAGAAATACCATTCTACACTATTCTAGTGCTCACCCCAAGCACCTCAAAAATTCTCTCCTATTTTCCCAATTTTTGTGAGTGTTCTGCGACAACTCACAAAGTGTCCACTGTGAGATACTACTATAGGCAATGTATGACAAATTCATGGCCCGTGGTTATAACAATTTTTTATTGTAACATGCACTACAGAAAGCAAGGGCACATTTCCTGGAAACCCAAGAACACCAGCAGAAATAGAAGGAATCACCAAGACTTACATTCCTTACCTTTTCCAGTTGGGCAAGTTAAGAACTGTCCAAGTCTGTCAACAACATGTGGCATGTCAAACTTGTGGCCCACCTGGGGTCACTTTGTGTTGTGGCTGCGACCAGCCGCAAGACAGGAAAGATATTTCCTGGCTGATTCTTGTCTTCCATCCCACGACCGATCGTGTGCTCCCGCAAGCCAGCCACTCCCACTTCACTTTTGCTAGCAGTGTCAGAGAGCTTCTGGTCTGCTTGAGCACAGAATAGCAGGGCTGGAGCTGTATGACGCG